AAACTTCTGCTTCTAAGTCTTCTGAATTCACAAGTCAACATAACTTAGAAAAATAACAGTTAAAAAGACATTTGTTTCTTGTCATAAGCTTCTATTCCCAAAAGAAAACCAAAACACTCCAAGAACAGGGAAAATGTGAAATTAACATCATTGCACAGATAGTGGAAGTTCTTTGATGAGAAGAAAAGCCATTGGCAGCTTTTTCTGATAATAATTGAAATTATGATGTTGCAAAAATTCTGCATTAGCTGGAAATCTGTGCATACATTTAAAAATCTATCTGATTACAAATTATTTACACTTCTCAGTTTCTTAAACATTGTCCGTTACCTCTAACAAGGTACAGAAAGCATCATTTGGCATTTGCTGATGACTTCATCTCTGAGTTTTATTATCAGTACTGCTTTATGGCCAATTACCAATATTTGATAAGTCCTGTAGCTTTCTCTTTTTCTATAAAAATGTTTATTAAATGAAATAAAATGGCACGGCCTAAATGAAAAAGCAATTATGATATATTTCCAGTGTGTCTTTTCAGATTGTTGATGGTCATACCTTAGAGATCCCTGGGGCATTAGGCATGAAAAGGACCTTAGAACTCATCTAGTTCTGACCCTTTTACTTTACAGTCCGAGAAATGAAGCTGTGAGTAGCTGAAAATGAGATAGGCTAATTTTCAGAGAACAAAGGCAAGAACACAGCTCCAAGATATCTTTTGAGGGCTCTTCATGCTATAGTATATCAGAATATAATTGATTTTGATATGCATAACTTAATTCTCCTTTATTCAAATGATATCAGGGAAAAGGGGCCTCACTCACCACTTACATTAGCTCTTCTGATGTGGACCCTGACGAATGAAGATACGTATCTGGGACAGGGCCAAATAAATTGGATGATAGGCAATCTCAACAGCGTGGAACAATTGGCCAAGTTGAACAAAAGGGGATTTAACAGAGATGCAGAGTCAGCACTTAGATTACAAAAAGCAATGGCAGAAGTACATGAAGTGGGACATATAGCTTAGCAGCAGAACTTTTTTTTTCCCTAAGTGGCTGTTTTTAAAGAATCAGAATTTTCATGAGTTTAATCTTGACATATTCTCCAAATCAGTTGAATTTTACTTAACCAAACAGAAGTCTATATAGAACAACACAGTCTAGTCTAAGTAAGTGTGTTCTACTCCATCCACCTGAAATTGAGATCATAAGCAATGACACTAAATCGGGGCATGTGGAGGAGAAAGACCACACTGTTAAACTGACTCAGATTCAAGTACATTAGGAAATATTAAAGGAATTAGTTAATATCTCTCTAGAAAAGAGAAGGACTTTACTTGTTTTTTGATGAAATAGAAGTGAAAGAAACACATTCTTTGGAAGAGAGAGGCTGAATGATCTGTTGAGAAGAAGTCAGGACATGGCATCAGAAAGCATGAGCTTGATTACTGGTGCCATCATTTACCAACTCAGTGGACATGAGTCTGAGCAAACTCTGGGAGTTGGTGATGGACAGGGAAGCCTGGCGTGCTGCAGTCCGTGGGGTCACAAAGAGTCACACATGATTGAGTGACTGAACTGAACCAAACCATTATTTACCAGTGGCATGACCTAGGGAAGATTTCTAAGAAATGGCACATCAGGTTCTTGATCAGCAAGATGAGAGTAGCACCATCTACACTGCAGAATTGCTGTGAAAATTAAATAATATATATAAAGTACATGTAGTACATGACATGCACTAGTCAGCAAATATTAACCTTTTGTTAGGTAGAGTCATGAGAGATTTTTATTAGATTTTATTAGAGGAATATCTTGTAGAAGGGTTGCTTAAGTGAAGATGAAAAGGTTAGGCCAGTTCCCTACCAATGCTCCTTGATATAGATATACCACCAGCATTTTGCTGTACTTTATGCCAGTAAGGATTTTTCTTCAGAATATTTGATTCTTTACAGGTTATATTCTCTCTTAAAACTGTAAGAATTTTTACTACTACAAATCATAAAATAAACCACTTCAGCATTCTTGCCTTGAGAATCCCAGGGACAGTATGAAAGGCAAAGAGATATGACATTGAAAGATGAACTCCCCAGATCCAAGGTGCTCAATATGCTACTGGAGAAGAGTGTAGAAATAGCTCTGAGCCAAAGCAGAAAAGACATCCAGTTGTGGATGTATCTGGTGGTGAAAGTAAAATCTGATGCTATAAAGAACAATACTGCATAGAAACCTGGAATGTTAGGTCCATGAATCAAGGCAAATTGGAAATGGTCAAACAGGAGATAGCAAGAGTGAACATCAACATTTTAGGAATCAGCGAACTAAAATAGGCAGGAATGGGTGAATTTAACTCAGATGACCATTATATCTACTACTGTGGGCAGGAATCCCTTAGAAGGAATGGAGTAGCCTTCATACTCAACACAAAAGTCTAAAATATAGTACTTGGGTGCAGTCTCAAAAACGACAGAATGGTCTCTGTTTGTTTCCGAAGAAAACCATTCAATTATCACAGTAATCCAAGTCTATGCCCCAACCAGCAATGCTGAAGAAGCTGAAGCTGAATGGTTCTATGAAGACCTACAAGACCTTCTAGAACTTATACCAAAAAAAGATGTCCTTTTCATCATAGAGGACTGGAATGCAAAAGTAGGAAGTTAAGAGATACCTGGAGTAACAGGCAAGGTTGGCCTTGGAGTACAGAATGAAGCAGGGCAGAGGCTAACAGAGTTTCACCAAGAGAACACACTGGTCATAGCAAACACCCTATGACACCAGATGGTTGACACTGAAATCAGATTGACTCTTTTCTTTGCAGCTGAAGATGGAGAATCTCTATACAGTCAGCAAAAACAAGACTGGGAGCTGACTGTGGGTAAGATCATAAATTGCAAAATTCAGACTGAAATTGAAGAAGGTAGGGAAAACCACTAGACCATTCAGGTATGACCTAAATCAAATCCCTTACAATTATACAGTGGAAGTGAGAAACAGATTCAAGAGATTCAATCTGATAGAGAGAGTGCCTGAATGATGAATGGATGTCCATAACACTGTACCAGAAGCAATGATCAAAGCCATCCCCAAGAAAAAGAAATGTGAAAAGGCAAAATGGTTGTCTGAGGAGGTCTTACAAATAACTGAGAAAAGAAGAGACATGGAAAGACGAAGGGGAAAAGGAAAGATATATCCTTTTGGATGCAGAGTTCCAAAGAACAGCAAGGAGAGATAAGAAAGCCTTCCTAAATGAACAATGCAAAGAAATGGAGGAAAACAACAGAATGGGAAAGGCTAGAGATCTCTTCAAGAAAATGAGAAATACCAAGGGAACATTTCATTCAAAGATGGGCTCAATAAAGGACAGAAATGGTATGCATCTAACAGAAGCAGAAGATATTAAGAAGAGGCAGCAAGGCTACACAGAAGAACTATACAAAAAAGATCTTCATGACCTAGATAATCATGATGGTGTGATCACCCACCTAGAACGAGACATCCTGGAGTTCGAAGTCAAGTGGGCCTTAGGAAGAATTACTATGAACAAAGATAGTAGAGGTGACGGAATTCCAGCTCTGGTATTTCAAATCCTAAAAGATGATGCTATTAACATGTTGCATTCATCATGCCATCAAATATGGAAAACTCAGCAGTGGCCACAGGATTGGAAAAGGTCCATTTTCATTCCAATCCCAAAGAAAGGCAATGCCAAAGAATGCTCAAACTACCACACAATTGCACTCGTGTTACATGCTAGTAAGGGATTGCTCAAAATCCTCCAAGCTTTAAAGTATGTGAATTGAGAACTTCCAGAAGTACAAATTGGATTTAGAAAAGGCAGAGGAACCAGAGATCAAATTGCCAACGTTTGTTGGATCACAGAAAATGCAAGAGAATTCCAGAAAAACATCAACTTCTGCTTCATTGACTATGCCACAGCCTTCGAATGTGGATCATGACAAACTGTGGAAAATTCTTTAAGAGATGGGAATACCGGACCACCTGACCTGCCTCATGAGAAATCTGCAGGCAGGTCAGGAAGCACCAGTTAGAACTGGACATGAAACAACAGATTGGTTCCAAATTGAGAAAGGATTATATCAAGGCTGTATATTGTCACCCTGCTTATTTAACTTATATGCAGAGTACATCATGAGAAATGCTGGGCTGGATGAAGCACAAGCTGGAATCAAGATTCTCAGGAGAAATATCAATAAGCTTGTGGCAGAAAATGAAGAGAAACTAAAGAGCCTCTTGATGAATGTAAAAGAGGAGAGTGAGAAAACTGACTTAAAACTCAGCACTCAAAAAATGAGGATCATGGTATCCGGTCCCATCACTTCATGGCAAATAGATGGGGGAAAAATGGAAACAGTGACAGACTTTATTTTCTTGGGCTCCAGAATCACTGCAGAGGGTGAGTGCAGGCATGAAATTAATAGACATTTGCTCCTTGGAAGAAAAGCTATGACAAACTTAGACAGTATATTAAAAAGCAGAGACATCACTTTGCCTACAAAGGCCCATATAGTCAAGGCTATGGTTTTTCCAGTAATCATGTATGAATGTGAAAGTTGGACTATAAAGAAAGCTGAGCACTGAAGAATTGATGCTTTTGAACTGTGGTGTTGGAGAAGACTTGAGCGTCCCTTGGACTGCAAGGAGATCCCACCAGTCCATCCTAAAGGAAATCAGTCCTGAATATTCACTGGAAGGATGGATGTTGAAGCTGAAACTCCAAAACTTTGGCCACCTGGTGTGAAGAATTGACTCATTTGAAAAGACCCTGATGCTGGGAAAGATTGAAGGCTGGAAGAGAAGGGGACGACGGAGGCTGAGATGGCTGGATGGCATCACCGACTTGATGGACATGAGTTTGAGTAAACTCTGGGAGTTGGTGATGGACAGAGAGGCCTGGCATGCTGCAGTCCATGGAGTCGCAAAGAGTTGGACACAACTGAGTGACTGATCAACATATTCATAAAATAGTGCTTGCTTACTCACCTGTAAAGTGCAGAAATGGGCCTCTTATTTCCAGGTTTTGGTCTGTATGGTTTTGGTTCTCCTGCCATATTGATATCTGAAAACATAAAATAAAATAGCACTGATTAAGAAAGTATTAAACCTGCTGTGAAAATAAATGATGAAATCGCATTATGTTTTGTTTTTATGTATAAAATGTTATATGACATTCATTTATTCATAAGTGTTTTTTGAGCACCTACTCTAGGCCAGGCTCTGTTTCAGATATGTCATGTACCAAATGGGCTAGATCCGTGCCCTCGTGGGACTTATCTTCTATGGGGAAGGAGGGGATAGATAGTAAACCACAAACATAACAAATAGGAAAACGATGTAACATATCAGAAGGTGCAAAGTACAACGAAAAAAGCAAATATTGGACAAGGTAGAGGGATCAGGAATGCTCGCTAAAACTAGAAAGGGAGAATGATTATAAAGCATACTCCCATAAAAATAAATTTAAATAAAAGCAAGAGGCAGAATGAAATATCCTACTGATTTGCAGTTTTGCCTGGAATGTCTCTGTATAGACATTTTCATAGAATGAAGCTTTGTTCATGAGAGGAATTGTTACATTCCCTTTGGTAGTATCTTCTCCACTTAAGCAGAGAAGTGTTAGAAGGGTGGAATTATAAAGCATACAAGGTTTACTGAGGGAACAACAAAATGCATTCAGTAACTGGCGTGTTCAATTACAGAGTTCTGGAGAGATCTGAAGGAAAGCACAGCACGTCACTTGCATTCAAGAACCAAAACTATAACAAAGTCTCAGATAAGACAAGAAGATGCCTAAATTAAGTACATGACAAGACAGCATTTGCATCAATTACCAACCTTAATATTTTTTAAAAATGTGTAAAACTGTTAGGAAGTTGGGTGATAAAGGTTTGGGAAGTGATATAAACTATTATATTTAATAAAGTTAACATTTCCAGAGGATGATAAAAAAGAAAATCTAAAGGAGGTGAACTTTAAGAAAAGCTTTGAAAGAAGTGAGGGATATCATTTTGACACAAAAGAAAGGCAAATTTCTATTTCTCATAAGTGAAAAACGAAACTGATAATCGCTCAGGTTGTGTCTGACTCTGTAACCGCATGAACTGAAGCCCGCCACGCTCCTCCATCCATGGGATTTTCCAGGCAAGAATACTAGAGTGGATGGCCATGCCCTTCTCCAGGGGATCTTCCTGACCTAGGGATCAAACTCAGGTCTTCTGTATTGCAGGCAAATTCTTTACCATCTGAACCAAATACAGGGGACTACATACACTGTCTGGAGATGGATGAACCACCCATCAGTAAAAGCAACCAAAATATGTAGATGGAAAATGATGTACCTCTTTTAAAGTAACTTATATTGGCGTGTAGATGATTTACAAGGCTATGTTAGTTTCTGCTGTATAACAAAATGAAACAGTCATGTGTATACCTCTGTCCACTCCTTGTTTAGGCTGTATTCTCATATAGGTCATTGCGGAGCATTCAGTGGAGCTCACTGTGCGTAAAGTAGGTCCTTGTTAGTTACTGATTTTATATATAATACTGTGTAGATGTCAATCCCAGTCTCTCCACTTACCTGCCCCTCGTCCCCCTTGGTACCCAGAGATTTGCTTTCCACACATCTGTGATGCTATTTCTGTTTTGTAAATAAGTTCATTTTACACATTTTTCAGATTGCACATATAAATGATTTCATATGCCATTCATCTTTCTTTGTCTGACTTATTTCACTCAGTACGACGATCTCCCATTCTAATCAGGTTGTTTCAAATGGTATAATGTTATCTCTCTTAAAAAACACATTGGGCTAACATCAAAGTCAGGTGCTCACAGAAGCCTGTATGTGAGTGGGCGTGGCAAGCAATGGAGATGGAACACTGGACCCGGCTTGGGCCTGAGGACATCTGCGGAAACCAGAACTTGAACTTTAGTTCTCACATCCTTGGGAATCCCAGGGCACAGGAGGCAGGGCCCACGTTAAAGGACAGGAAATATATGCTCATCTAATTCAACAGTCATATGTGGGGAAATCCTTAACTAGGAAGAGAAGGAAGCCTCTGCCACCTCCCAAAGAATATCAATATAAAATCCATACTAAATACCATACTCAACACTGGGTTACTGGGCACATTTTCTTTAAGATCAAGGCTGTCTAACCCTTCACATATGACAGAGTTGGAACAAAAAAGTGAGTGAAACAAATGAAGATTTCTATTATTTTTATAAGTTCTGTAATGATGATAGAGGTACATATCCAGGAAACATCATTAGGCACACTATTGTATTTCTGTCTTCTTTACTTTTGAACTGAAAACAAACAAACAAAAATTCTCATAAGTAAATTTAAAAAAAAGGACTTGAGACTTAAGACTATCAAAGCAAGCATTGTAACGTCTCTTTTAAAAATAACCTGTAGCTAGTGGCTCTGAGTTTGACAGTGGATCCACACAGAGCTGGACCTTCCCAGCTGGCTCAGACTGTAAGGGATCCACCTGCCAACTCGATCCCTGGGTAAGGAAGACCCCCTGGAGAAGGGACTGGCTACCCACTCCAGACCCTTGCCTGGAGAATTCCACGGACCGAGCGGCCTGGTGGGCTGCAGTCGTGGGGCTGCAAAGAGTCAGACACGACTGCCTGCCTACCTACAGTGGAGGCTCCCCTGACGGCTCATGGCTCAGCAGTAAAGAATCTGCCTGCCGACGCAAGAGACGCAGGGTCGATCCCAGTGTCGGGCAGGTCCCCTGGAGAAGGAGGCGGCCACCTACTCTACTCTTCTCGCCTGGAAAACCTCATGCACAGAGGAACCCGGGCGGCTACAGCTCATGGGGTCACAAAAGAGTCGGCCGTGACTTCAGTGGCTGAACAGCAATGTACAATGGCTGTGTGTGCGCTCAGTCATGTCTGACTGTTGTGGTCCCACGGACTACAGGCCGCCAGGCTCCTCGGTGGGATTTCCCAGGCAAAAATATTGGGGAGGTTTGCCATTTCCTCCTCCAGGGGATCTTCCCAACGCAGGGCTTGAACCTGCAACTTCTGCATTGGCCGGCGGATTCCTCACCACGAGTGCCACCTGGGAAGCCCCAACATACAATGGAAGATGTTTTATGAAAGGTTGTTACACAGCAATTTCAGACATCAGTGTCCGTTTGAAGGTAATAGAAAGTGCAAAAAATCTTTTTTTCTCAGAGTCACTGGATAGTGTCTGAACACTGAATAGTGTTCAAATGCATCATTTTCCTTTGAATGTTTATAAATGGATGCTTAAATATGGAAACTTATGCATGTTACACCGCTATAGTAAAGGTCATCCATGTCCTGGTGTTAGTGGACGGGGACGCGTGTGGGAGGGGATGGATGTACACAGGGGAGCAGGAACAACGGGCATGAGCTCAGGAAATCAGGGAACATAAAGCATGGCCAGGGTCTGGATGAGTGAGCGTTTCCTTTGTGTTTAGCTTTATTGATACAAGATTTCATTGTGTTTTTGGAACAATCCATCTTAATTGGAAGCCAAAGTTCAGGTTCTTCTATCTCAAGAGCTGCTGGCCTTGAAGAAAGCCTACAGATGTGTAAATGGCCTCTGGACACTGAACTTTGTGGTCAGCTACAGAGCGACCTCCCAAGACTTCCTTCCCTGATTGTGCTGGCACTGTGCAAGTCACCCACAGGAGGAATGACCGAGGTTCAATTTTCTGCCACTCTCACGAGGTGGGGACTTCGGAATAAAACGGTGAGATACAAAAAATACAGTGATGCTTCTTAAATTCCCGAGTTTGCGAAGATTCACACTAAGTACTAACATTTAAAAATCTTACATTACCCTTAAGAAAGAATGTGGATTTAATCATCGTAACAACTGCTTTTGAAATGGGTCAAAAAAATCCTAGTTAAATTCCTACTTGTTATGCAAAAGTACATATTGAGGTGCTTATATACCAAGGTGATGGACTGTATTATTGGAGTATTAAAATCATATTCTCATAGAGTGTATTGATAAAACTAGACAAACGCTATGAAACAGAAGTGTCTTGAAGAGTTTCTGTTTGGGTTTGAGACAGGCTGAGACCCGGGGCCCTTTGTGGCCAGGCTGCAGTGTTGGCACCTAAACAGATGTTTCCTCAAGCAACAAATCACAGAAATTATAAGGGGCGAAAAATAACTGCAGAAAGTGAAGAAGAACTAAAGAGCCTCTTGATGAAAGTGAAAGAGGAGAGTGAAAAAGTTGGCTTAAAGCTCAACATTCAGAAAACTAAGATCATGGCATCTGGTCCCACCACTTCATGGCAAATACATGGGGAAACAGTGGAAACAGCATCTGACTTTATTTTGGGGGCTCCAAAATCACTGCAGATGTTGACCACAGCCATGAAATTAAAAGAGGCTTACTCTTTGGAGGGAAAGTTATGACCAACCTAGACAGCATATTAAAAAAGCAGAGACATTACTGTGTCAAACAAAGGTCCATTTAGTCAAGGCTATGGTTTTTCCAGTGGTCATGTGTGGATGTGAGAGTTGGACTATAAAGAGAGCTGGGAGCTGAAGAATTGATGCTTTTGAACTGTGGTGTTGGAGAAGACTCCTGAGAGTCCCTTGGACTGCAAGGAGATCCAACCAGTCCATCCTAAGGAAATCAGTCCTGAGTATTCATTGGAAGGACTGAAACTGAAGCTGAAATTCCAATCCTTTGGCCACCTGATGAGAAGACCAACTCATTGGAAAAGACTCTGATGCTGGGAAAGATTGAAGGTGGGAGGAGAAGGGGACGACTGATGATGAGATGGTTGGATGGCATCACTGACTTGATGGACATGAGTTTGAGTAAACTCTGGGAGTTGGTGATGGACAGGGAAGCCGGGCATGCTGCAGTCCATGAGGTCACAAAGAGTCGGACATGACTGAGCGACTGAACTGAACTGAAAAATAACTGTATGCATACACAGTTGGGGCAAATTCTGGACAAAAAGATACAAGAAGACCAAAAAAGCCCAAAATCACTAGTGAAGAATAGGGAGCAAAAGCTGGGAGTCAGAAGCAAAAGCAGAGTGCTGCACAGGATCC